GTTCAGGCCACCGGGGCTCGTCGGTTGATTGTGGCGTAAAACTCAATGGTATATATAATTCTACGTTCATCGTACAGTAGAACACGGATATAGCGAACAAACGGATAGAACGAACTGTTAAAAAATCCGCGATTTATCTCCTATATAATATCATATAAAATTTACGTATATAACGAACTCTCTATAGCGAACTAACGGATACAGCGAACTGATACCTGATCACCGACAAGCCCATTTATCACTTATTAGCGACGTGTAGAGCGAACTGAGAAATCTCACTCAGTGTCAAGTGTCACTGACAATTGGCTGTATGCAATCAGCGGCGAATCAAAACAATGGCGGCGAATCTATACAATCAGTGGTGACGGATCAACCTTGTTAAATTTGCATTGTGTTAATTTTACCTGTACATGTAATCTTGTCTGTAAAACAAACAGTTTTTGACAGTTTGGCGGATCTGAACGATGCCGTTTCAAGAATGCAGTCAGCGAAACGAGGCCAAAGTAAAATCACAGACTACACATTTCTTATGTAAATCGAAAAATGATAAATATGTTTAAATTTTGTACATGTATTTGATAACAATCTTCAGAAAATGTTATGAATTTAATGTTATTAAATGAATGTTGTAAATTGATATCAGTTGAATGATCACTGCTAATACAAATCAATCCTGCAGTTACTTGTGTATTTTGTTTTGTCTTATCCAAGATGGCGGACGTTTCCGAGCGAAAACGTGTATAACGAACAACGGATATAACGAACTGATTTCTCTGGTCCCTAGTAGTTCGTTATATCCGTGTTCTACTGTAATTGTTATTGATGAAGAAATTATATCGTATTGATGACCCAATATTAGTATGAGGTACAGATGTTCTATAACCGTATTATTCACGTTGAAAGCATGTATTTTTAGAACAGGTAAACGTAGTTGTGCTGCCTCCATTCTGGCATAAACAAAATATGTTTCTCGATTTGGCTACTGCCACAAAGTTTGCTCGCGGTTTGCCAAAATAATTAGTGATCGGCTACAAGTTTATTTATTGAAGACAGTTGAACTGAGATATGTGATCATTATTACCAATATTTATGATAATGAAAGTCCTCAAAATAAGCGATGATAATCATTTCGTTGTTATCTTGCATGATTTTGCAACATGTTGTCCCTGATAAAACCTATCGCGAGACGTGGGACGAATAAAACCACATGTATAAAACATGACGCAGGACGCATGAAACTGCGTGTACCCCTCGTGATCATGCTACATCTTATATCCCCTGTGGGGCCTCAGGGAAGATAAGAATGTCTCCCCAGCACCCCATTAGTCGGAAAAGGCAACATGGCCAATCTGGTGATGCTGACCTACGAATTCTGTACATCCCTAATTGATTGTCATGGGCCAATCTGGCCCCTAATTTGGTAGATAGTTATAGCTTTTCGTGTCAAATTTACTGGAGTACCACCCCTTTATCGTCGGAGATCCGCTGCAGCATAAGACTGTCCTTGTTGGTGGGGAAAATGGGTGCAGAATTATTTTCCTTTCGACATTGCTTCCAAACACCCTCGTTCAAAAAGACGATACATAGATACATACCTCGTCTAAGGAGAGCACATCCAATTGGCCTCGTTTCCTGGTAATCGAAGCTTTAAACAAAGAACCAATCACATTGAATCCATTTGCAAACTCCAAAGGTATTACTGGCACCTGTGGAGAGGTTACAAATGTCACCATCATTGTAGAATGTGCAGGAGACAACAATCTGTCAATCTGCTCATATTAAAAGAGTTTGTCAATATCAAGGTTCTTGTCTCAGTGCACAATACACTGAACTCATGTAAGACAGAGAATGCTGCCTGTCCGACATGACCAAAGATGACATTGCCAAATAACTTAACTAAAAGTCCGTCACAGCTGTCAAACGATTTACCGTCAAGAAAGATGGTGTAGTTCAACTGACCAACACCTACCTCCTCACCTTCTCTCCAACATCTATCCCTCAATCGATTAAGGCTGCTTACTGTAGCATTGGAATGGAGGTGTATATCCCCAATGCACTCCGGTGCTACACCTGCCAAGCGGTTGGACATGGATGCAAACACCAAAGGCCACCGCTCCTTTAGAGGTCCAAGTAGAGGTCCATAACTCCTTTGGTCCTCTGGACATGGTGGTAACTCCATTTTCACATGACAATAATAGGAGTACAACGAAGTCGTCCTCACGTTCGCATGACATTTCACCTGTGGAAGCACCACCATGAATCCACAACCTATGGTACAGTGAGTGAGTGAGTTGGGTTTAATGGCGCTTTTAATATTCCAGTATTCCAGCTATATCGCGGCGTGTCATCTTAATGTGGGAGGAATTGCAGATGTCTTAAGGAGAATGTTAATGAAATACGACTTTAAATTCAAGATTTTAAACCGAAAGCTTTCTGTCTCCAAGAAACATCTAGAAAAACACAGATCTATTTGATATCCGTCAGTACGTTCTTTTCACTCGTTTTCCCCTCCTGGTGATAAAGCTACAGGAGGTTCTTTTATCCTGGTGAAGCAGAGCATAATCCATAGCCCTGTTCCACTCAACACTACTCTTCAAGCTGTTGCTGTCCGTGTTACTTTGAACATAGTGTAGATCTCTTTTCCTTTGTCTCATTATCAGCTACTTGAAATAAATTGATCTGTATGATAAATTTTAGATATGTATGTGAATAATTTAATGCGTGTTATTAAATTTGGTGTGATGTTATTATCAACTGACATTATTAAAGGCTCTGTCCAAGGGGTTAAAGTATCATAAAATTATTGTCCCCCTGTGTGACACGTAATCCTATCATAATCGATGTAACTGTCATCAACCAGTGTTTTTAAGCCAACACACTGCTGACTATTCTTTTAATTTTGGCTAGGATTGCGCACAACCACCAGTGGCTAAAGTAATGACGTAATTCCTGCTGGGGTATCATGCAGGAAGCCGAGGTACTGTAAGTCCTCATGATCCCCAGCGTGGTGTCCTAGCTTTGGTTACTGGTGGCTTATAGCCCGTGTATTAAAACTGTATACATGATATAGTTATGCTCAAATAAATTGTTTTGGAACATAACTTTGTGTTAATGAACAAACTGTGTATATATCAACTTGGTCTCGTCGCTATATGGCTGAAATAATGCCGATGCGACGTTAAATATTAACTCACTCACTCAAAACTTATATTGTCCTCGATATTAATGTAACTATTGAATCAAGAGGCGAAGTTAACTCACCTTCTTTCAAAGGGACTACCCATGATGTGACTTTCTATGACGTGTATTCTGTAAACTGGAAAATAGGTTTTGGTTTGGGTTTGATTTGTTCTTCAAAGCCGCACTCAGCAATATTCCAGCTATATGACGGCGGTCTGTAAATAATCCAGTGATTAATATCATGAACATCGATCCACACAATTGGGATCGATGACATGCTTCAACCAAGTCAGCGAGCCTGACCACCCGATCCCGTTAGTCGCCTGGAAAATAGACTGCCTATTTTCCTACTTTACCTGTTGAAAATAATGCAATATATACTCTTAAAAAGAGTAGAGGATATTCAGAAATTACTTCAATTTTCCACAGTTGTAAGCTATTAGTTTCCAGTAATAGTTATTACGAAACTATAAACGAAATGGGAATACACATTACAACTGGTAGTAAAGTATGACAATTGATGTTATGGCCGCCAACGAACTTGAAGGACAATAGGTCTGAGATGGGAAATTTCAAAGTTGACGTTTTTTGGATCAGTAGGTGCGTTATATCGTACGATATGTCAAAATTTCATTTACTCAACGAGGCATACTGCTTATGAATCCCCAAGTGGCGATTTGAGGGAATCAAGCTGCAAAAGAGGAACATGAAACGAAGACAAGTGGTGTATCTGCCGATGTTTAATTGTTTGAGTGTATTTCGCTTTCAATTTTTTTCAAAATTTCCTGTTATTCATTAATGCTGGATCAGAGTTATTATTTCCTGATAGTGACTGTTTGTTAGTGACGCATGGTCAGCAGTTTATATGTCACGGGCGGACTGTTTAGTTTCCATTGCCTTATGTGTGTTTACACCTTCAACCCCTAGACTGGATACTGTGATAGGTGATACTGAGTTTAGGAGCATGTGTTCACGCTTCGAAACAACACTAATAAAACTTAGATGACAAACTCGTCACATATCTGAGTATATTTCTGGTCAGCCTTTTAATTTATATGAATGACGGAATGCTTTATAAAAAATATAAATATTTGCCTCAAAGATACAAATACACACAGATAACAGTTGTATTGATGTACACAAAAAAGCCGAAATGAAGGTTGTGCTGGTAGAGACGGGAGTACAGGGTACAGTGTGCTGATAGAGACGGGAGTACAGGTTACAGTGTGATGGTAACGACGGGAGTACAGGTTACAGTGTGCTGGTAGAGACGGGAGTACAGGTTACAGTGTGCTGGTAGAGACGGGAGTACAGGTTACAGTGTGCTGGTAGAGACGGGAGTACAGGTTACAGTGTGCTGGTAGAGACGGGAGTACAGGTTACAGTGTGCTGGTAGAGACGGGAGTATAGGTTACAGTGTGCTGGTAGAGACGGGAGTACAGGTTACAGTGTGCTGGTAGAGACGGGAGTACATGTTACAGTGTGCTGGTAGAGACGGGAGTACAGGTTACAGTGTGATGGTAGAGACGGGAGTACAGGTTACAGTGTGCTGGTAGAGACGGGAGTACAGGTTACAGTGTGCTGGTAGAGACGGGAGTACAGGTTACAGTGTGCTGGTAGAGACGGGAGTACAGGTTACAGTGTGCTGGTAGAGACGGGAGTACAGGTTACAGTGTGCTGGTAGAGACGGGAGTACAGGTTACAGTGTGCTGGTAGAGACGGGAGTACAGGTTACAGTGTGCTGGTAGAGACGGGAGTACAGGTTACAGTGTGCTGGTAGAGACGGGAGTACAGGTTACAGTGTGCTGGTAGAGACGGGAGTACAGGCTACGCGTGTATGGAGGTATACATGGTGCCGACAGGAAAGTAACATCATCATCATAACGGTATGTGTGTGAAACATCCTCTTTAGAGGGAAAACGAAACTGAATATCTATGACACATTCATCACAAATCAGATACAAACATTGAGACAGACCGATGTAGCAGTGACTGGTAAGTGCTCTTTGTAGCATCTGGGGACAACTTTCCGACGGCTTAAATACTTGCCATAATATGGTGTTAAATTTGTCAATTCATCAATTATTGGTATTTCATGAACGATTGGTATTTAGATTTTCACAAAAGAGAAATCATATTTGTGAAAGAGAAAAGAATCCAGAAAAAAGAAACCGTGTTTTTTTGTGTATGCATCGAACCTTTCATCGTGAATCATGTTCACTTGTAACTACGAATTAGAGCCTTCAGACAAACTTTGTCGGCTTTTGGCCAAAATATCAATTCTATATCTTGATAGCGTTTGTTTTCAGCGTATGCTACGGAAAGGAAAGCAACCGGTAGCCTTGCCTGCTCCGTCTGTAACCTACACATTACAGACCGTTATAGTGTCACGAACTGAACGAATGTAACATGTGTCTGAAAGCTTTCTGTATATTTATTAACTACAGCCGTGACATGTACTCTCACACTCTGCTGCTATCTATTGCGTCGTATCTTATTCAGTGCAAACAGTCAGTTAAACAGTTTTTACCGTCTCAGAAACGTTCAGCAAGTTCTGAGATTCATGCATACCCCATCACCTAACCTTTGGTGTTTCGAGGAACTTAGAAGAATCTATCAACAGCAGGTAACCTGTTTTTGAGGAGAGTATATCCAGCTGCACGGTGCTAACTCATGTCCCAAAGTAGTCTTGTTCGCACATAATCTTGTTAAACCGATTGTAATACAGCTGTATGTTTATTAAACAGAAGATTCTTCAACATGTAACACAGCTGTACGTTTAACAGAGGTGTCTTCCACAGGTAATACGGCTGTATGTTTATTAAGCAGGTTATATGTAAAGGGAAATACAGCTGTATGTTTATTAAACAGTTGTATATTTAAACGGAAATACAGCTGTGTGTTTATAAAAAAGTGGTATCTTTAGCGGGTAATACAGCTGCATGTTTATTAAACAGTGGTATCTTTAGCGGGTAATACAACCGTATGCTTATTAAGTAGTTGTATCTTTAACGGGTAATACAGCTGCATGTTTATTAAACAGTGGTATCTTTAGCGGGTAATACAACCGTATGCTTATTAAGTAGTGGTATCTTTAACGGGTAATACAGCTGCATGTTTATTAAACAGTGGTATCTTTAGCGGGTAATACAGCCGTATGCTTATTAAGTAGTGGTATCTTTAACGGGTAATACAGCTGCATGTTTATTAAACAGTGGTATCTTTAACGGGTATTACAACTGTATGTTTATAAAACAGTGGTATCTTTAACGGGTAATACAGCTGTATGTTTATTAGACAGTGGTATCTTTTAACGGGTATTACAGCTGTATGTTTATTAGACAGTGGTATCTTTTAACGGGTATTACAACTGTATGTTTATAAAACAGTGGTATCTTTAACGGGTAATACAGCTGTATGTTTATTAGACAGTGGTATCTTTTAACGGGTATTACAACTGTATGTTTATAAAACAGTGGTATCTTTAACGGGTAATACAGCTGAATTATTATTTAACAGTGGTATCATTAAAGTGTAATACAACTATATATTCATTAAACAGTGGTATCTTTAACGGGTATTACAGCTGTATGTTTATTAGACAGTGGTATCTTTTAACGGGTATTACAGCTGTATGTTTATTAGACAGTGGTATCTTTTAACGGGTATTACAACTGTATGTTTATAAAACAGTGGTATCTTTAACGGGTAATACAGCTGTATGTTTATTAGACAGTGGTATCTTTTAACGGGTATTACAACTGTATGTTTATAAAACAGTGGTATCTTTAACGGGTAATACAGCTGAATTATTATTTAACAGTGGTATCATTAAAGTGTAATACAACTATATATTCATTAAACAGTGGTATCTTTAACGGGTATTACAGCTGTATGTTTATTAACCAGTGGTATCTTTTAACGGGTAATACAACTATATATTTATTAATCAGTGGTATCTTTAACGGGTAATACAGCTGAATTTTTATTTAACAGTGGTATCATTAAAGTGTAATACAACTATATATTTATTAATCAGTGGTATCTTTAACAGGTATTACAGCTGTATGTTTATTAACCAGTGGTATCTTTTAACGGGTAATACAACTATATATTTATTAATCAGTGGTATCTTTAACGGGTATTACAGCTGTATGTTTATTAACCAGTGGTATCTTTTAAAGGGTAAAACAGCTGTATGTTTATTAATCAGTGGTATCTTTTAACGGGTAAAACAGCTGTATGTTTATTAAACAGTGGTATCTTTAACGGGTACTATAGCTGTTCGTTAATTACACAGTGGTATCTTCAACGGGTAATACAGGTGTATGTTTTTGAAACATAAGTTTCTTCAACAGATCATACTCCTGGTAGCTGCTATGTTTCAGATTATGTGCACAAGGACATTGTTCCATGATGTAAGCATGATGTGATCCACGTGATCTATTACATATTGTTACATTTTCCTCTGTGGCAGACTTTATCTTGTGGACGTACTCTGTAGGATACTGCATCCAAATAATGTCAATCCTTTTTTACTCTTTTTTTTAACACGTAGTCTGACTTGACATGTGACAGCAGCACCTTTATTTCCATGTAAACATGAACAATATACAGGGCCTACATATAACGTTTTCGGTAATCAAGCAACACCTGGTATGACAATGCATCATTTCTGTGTGTTATTTTTGTGTTTGGCACTTATTTAATAGAGGATCATATAAATCGGGAATCAGAAATATTTATACTAATAAAGGCATGGTTAGAGTGCGAGAAGTTCCAAGGTCGTATGATATGTTTGACCCGACTATATCTGTAAGGTATGTCAATGTCATATTGGTATGTATTACACAAAATATAAATAGACGCAATTTAGGTTTTCTCCTACGCTACGATAAGGGCTACCAAGAAGTTTCAGGATATAATTGGTTTTACAAAAGTATAGCTTGGTAAACCACTAACGATTGCTGCTGCCATTTTGAGGAGTTTTCCTAATCGGTTGCTCTGTTCTTTGGTGCCGAAGGTTACATTCATATTCAAAATGTAGTCGAATATGGAATACATAAAATTTTGTCAAACACAATACGACTGTTAAGCTTTCTAATTGAATAAACATGAGATGACTACGTGCCTAATGACGACAATATTTCACCGAGAAGCTTGTGTGTTTTAACATGTGTTGATTATCTTCAAATAGTTTTTCGGTTTAATGTTGCTGGGATTATACAGAATTAGTTGGTCTTAAGACAATTGGTTACTTTTGTTTGAATTGCTATTCACAGTAGTTTCTATACAGACAATGTTATCAAATGATACGACCAGGGGTACAAAGTCTTGTGAAGCAGTTCAGTATATCAGTGACATCATTGATGTACACAAGAAACAGGAAAGGACCCAGTACTGAACCATGTGGCGTACAAGCTTTAGTATCAAACATTTGTCATTTGTAAAGACTTTCCCGACACAGCTCATAAAGGATATCGGTCTTAATCAAATTGATGGTGATGGATCACGTTTTAAGTAATGTGGCATTACATGAGCCAATTTCCATTGGCTTGGACAGGGACGAATTCTCATTGACATATCAAATAATAAACATAAGGCTGCACTTTCAATCTGGTCCTAAAGCTTTATTCGGAGTGAGACGTGAACACCTAAACGAAATGGCATTGTTCGGAAACAGCCGAAAGACGATTTGGAGAAGACGCACTTGTTGGTGGGACTGCCTCTTCCTTATGTTATTACCGAAATATTGCCTCATGTTCGTTAATGATGTAAGATCCGAATATAGTCTTGATGTTCAGATACAGTTTGGATATGCCCGATTTGATCATTTCTTACCTCAGTAGTTTCATAGTCTATATTCGAATCACGCTCGCAAATGTCTGCCTTTGGTTATTTTTTCAATATTCGTATTTTTATCGGCATTATGTGTATTAGGCAATATAGCTTCTGGAAGAGGAAGTTCAGTTTTTAAAAATATGTTCACTGTAATTGATATGGAAATGAAATTTTGGCAGATTGTTAGGTAACACACAAACCCGCTCTATAGACGTTCCATTCTTAAATGCACGGTGTAATACATTGAAATAAAAAAAAATTCTTAAAGATAAAACTGAAAGTTTTAATAAGGTTTCAGTGGATATTATTCACTTGGAAATATTGACGCCATCGTAGTTTTAAGTAATTAGATCAGAGTGGGTTCATTGTCCTAAGGTGCAGGAGAAAATTCGATGATATCTTGTGGTGTTCAGCCACAATGTATGTATATCCATTGGCAAATTAATTAAATCAAGGTTCGTTTGAAAGTTAGAGAAGTCAAAAACTAAATCGTGACAGGTCGACAACAATGTGATTATATTTGTGCACACTGGGCAGTTTCTTTGTCATAGGATTAAAAGATACATTTAGATTCAGTCTACGTATGACAGAAGTTACAAACTATAAGCATTATACAAAAGCTGTAGTATCAAAGGATTTCAAGTTCTTTTGGTACTTCAATTCCACGATTCGGCACAAGTGCTCAAAAACATATATGGCATATGTTATAAAAACAAAAACACACAAACAATGACAGTGACAAATTATGATATGGACGAAGCAAGCAAGCACAAGGTGCTTGATTGAGGTTGTATCGTACGTCAAACATGAATAACAACGCTCAATATTTCCATCATATCTCAATGACTTCAATGACAAACCAGAACACAGTGGGTAATTTCAGATACTGTGGCATGTAGGGGATGCATCTTAGTGACAAGATACCAGTACACAAATTGAATAATACACGTATGTTGAACGGAAAGTGAGAGGGGTCATTCTGATAAGTCACATGCCATGACTTAGTCAATAATGGATGTGGCCACTCCTGTTCCCGACGCACTCTGCACATTGAGCCCTCATTGACCTGACAAGTGTCATTTCTGCTGAAGGAATACGACACGTTCAATTGGCGCGAGATCAGTGGAATATGTGAGTGAGACCGGGCATTTCCATCCTGAAAAATGACCCCAGGTCCAATGATTGTGTGAAACGGAATCACAAGGGGTGAAACAACCTCATCCCTGTATGCATACCAGTCATATTGCCACGAAAAAGGGGGTCCTGTAACGCAAAACTGTACTCTTCCTTTCGCCCGAAAATGTTCCAATAGACGATGAATAACAGATGGTGACCTCTGACGGCGACCGTTCTCATCTACACCATCGTGAAGCCGTGCAAATGCCCTTCCACGATCAACAGCACTGATGTGTCCAAAACTGAACATTGTCAAATGTGTGCTGCCTCAATTTTTAAACCCGTTTGTGCGGTGGCTGCACGAGAATCATGTAGCGCACGTGGAGTGTTTGTTTGGATGGCAGTCACAATCAAGTGACAATGGACACGTTTGCAATCGAAAACATTTCCACAAGTTTTCTGTCCAAACACAACCAATATGTTTCCTATCTTATTACCCTACCTCTGCAATGTTGCACATGCACCGCTCGACATCATATCATTGCATTACTGTACAGTAAATTTTACTTTTATTGAAATATATATCAAATAGTTGGTTTTCATATACAGTTCGTTTGACTCCAAATGAGAACGATGAATTTGGAAGGCAGAGCGCAAGCACGGTCTGCACTGCTACATAGTGACCGTGTTCATTCAATGACAAGATGCGCTACTCAGCAGATGTTAAACAGTTGATGTTGAATGTGTATGATTTACGTGTTACAAAGTACAAACTATGGCAGCTGTTGCATACATTTGGTTACAAATTCAAAAAAGATAACTGGAGAAAATAGGGCTGTGATGTGTGAACGGTCTGACATTGTTCGTCTCCGACATCATTACCTTCGAACAATCACGCAGAGACGTGAAGAAGGATATGAGCCTGTCTTCTTAGATGAGACATGGGTAAATGCGTCACACACAGCCAGCAGTCAGTGGGTACCCAGTGGTGACTGTAAGGAGTCCGGTAGAAAGTGACCAATGGGAAAGGGTGAAAGACACATAGTTTTCCATGCTGGTTCTGCTGGTCAGGGTTTTCTCCCAGACTGTGACCTCGTCTTTAGAGCAAAGGCCAAAGACAATAGGGACTACCACACAGAAATGAACGGCAATGTATTTCTGGAGTGAATGAAAGATAAATTAGTCCCTGCTTTGCCTACCAAGTCTCTCATTGTCATGGACAATGCACCGTATCATAGTGTGCAGGATCCAGAAAGCAAGACTCCAACATCTAATAACCGTAAAGGAGACATGGTTACTTGGCTGCAACGGAGCAACATTACCTTTCCTTCTGGAGCGACGAAACCACAGCTCTGTGAAATCATCAAAACTATGAAACCTGACCCCATGTATAAAGTTGACAGTTACATCAAGGGTCAGGGTCACGCTGTCTTACGACTGCCACCTTATCACTGCAACCTGAATCCAATCGAGTTGGTATGGGGCATCGTCAAGGGTGACGTTGGACGATCGAACACAACGTTCAAATTACGAGACGTTGAACAACTCGTAAAGGAATCCCTTGGTCGGGTAACAATAGAAACAAGGAGGCGTTGTGTGGCCACAGTCGTTGACGAGATAGAGCCACGTTATTGGCCAGCAACGGTCCAACCTATAATAGTGGCAGTCGGTTCAGGCACCAGCAGTTCCGACGACGAGATCTATGGCATGAGCGAGTGAGATTGCGACTGAAATTATCATGAGACGGCCCCTCTAACGTTCTGTCATTTCCCCTACCACAGAACGTGCAGTGCATGCGTGCTTGCGCTGTGCCTTCCACGGTTTGTCCCCCTACGTGTCATGTACACATTTCTATACAAAATTACATGATAGTTTCTCAAAGCACTTCATCCGTCATGGGTCTTAAAATAAACAAAATTCAGATGTTGTTGGGTACAGGGTATTCATGGTCAAGTACCGTATTGATGTTTCATACACTTTTCAGATTTCGAGTTATTTTGCAATTCATCATTCTCATATGGAGTCAAACGGAACTATACTTGTTTGGCGTAGTATAGTTACAGTGTGTGATTCAAGTTGATGAGTGGATGGTAGGTGGATGGAACACAATGGCGTTTGTTTCTACTGATGATCATCTTGTATAAGTCAATTAAGATGGCTTCTGTGAGTTTTCCAATGGTGTTGATATTTATAGTCCAATCAGTCTAGCCAAACATAGACCTAACCCATCACAAATTGCAACAGTAACGATTTCAACTGATGTACACTCAGAAATTATCCTTTTATAATATATAAAAAGTCTACCAAAATCGGAGTGGTGAAACTTGGTCAAATATGACCAAAAAGGTCTGGGAGGTTAAAGCCATTCTGAAGCATTCGTGTGAGATTATGATTTTTTTATGTTTCTGTTTAAATTGTGGGTCATGATGCATATGAAATGAAAGCTCTCTCAGCTTTTCAGAAAAATGTACTTTGTCAACAAGAGACATAAATCTTGAGAAAAACAAAAACAAGACCATGATTAATTAGCCTAATAGTAATTACTACAATTAATAATGAGCAATATTTTAAAATATAAAATTTTAAATGAATGTTTTTGTGTCTTTAGAAAGTTAATATACTCTTCAAAAAAGAAATGCAAAGCCAAATTTGTTTGAGGTAGGAAAATACATTCATACGAGGAACCTTACAAAATGTTGTGGAGAAAACACTTGTAGTCATCTCAGTTATCGGTACATTGGAAAAGTCCAAGGTGAAAGTCAGCTGACATCAGTAGTGCGTATGTCCCTCGTTGGAATCGATAGCAGCCTGACGTAACCTGGCCATGGAAGAGGCGAGTATGCAAATCACATCTTTGGGAATGGTAGCCCACTCGGCCTGCAACGCAAAAGCCAACTGCTGCAACGTCTGGGGTTGTGGTTGAGGTCGGTTTAGCCGTCTATCAAAACCATCCACCAGGTAGTCTATCGGGTTCAAATGCGTTGATCTGGAGGGGCAAGGGGAGAACATCGACGTTATTGTGTAAACAGGTTCTTGTGATCCGTGCTGTATGCAGTCAAGCTTTGTCGCTCAACCAGACGTCTCTCCATCGCAGTTGAGGCCATACCCTGTATTGACAACTACAATGCAGTCGTTGGTGACGATGTTGTCGCCTCAATATGACGCATCGAAAAGCACGTCTTGCTCGTAACCCGTTTCGTATGGTCTAGTCAGAGATTCTGTTTGGGATGCGGTTGAGGTGGCTGTGGCCGTCCTTTTGAGTAGGTGGTGCAGCCGGACGAAGCGATCTTGAGCGTCCCGACCTTGGCTGATCACGTGTTGACCCATGCTGTTGAAACTGATCCCATAGCCTTGTGATGGTGCTGGGCGCTATATTGAAAACCCTGGCTTCAGCTGATCGGGATTCCCCTGCCTGCAAGTGGCCTATGACGTTGTTACTTTGCACTTCTCTTAATCTTAGCATGTTGTTGAACTGTCACTGTTCGATTGACGCAGATGCCAGGCAATCAAAAACGCTGCACTTAAATACCGTTCATAGTGCTGCTCCACATGCAGTGCGTGCAGCTCCATGTCCCTTTTGTTAATGCACCAGGTACGTTTTTTTCACAATCATACGTGTTTCCCAACTAATGGTTTGCATGTCCTTGTGTCATTTTGATCCTGGAAATTTGTCACTGACACAATAACACATTAAACCTCTTTATTTTCCGCCTCTTGGTCCGTTAATTTTGCTTTTATGGCCAAAAATTTCCGTCTTGCGTTTTTTGGAAGACTATATGATTTTTATCTCTCATGATAAAATCAAAATATAATATACCTTTACAAAATACAACATCCAATTTAGTTTCATGCATTATTACCAAACTGAAAAAGGTTGAAGTGATTTAATTGAAATAATTCAAGTTTACTCCGCATAAAACCTGTCATTGCCATGGGGCGGTTCAAATGTTTCCATCTGGCACATTAAATCAGGATATCAGATCAAACTATAAAGTTCCACTGTTTTGTTGAAGAGGGTCCTGAACAAGTCGAGCAATATGAGGCCGGGCGTTGTCATGTTGAAAGGTAATGCCTGGGCCATGACGACGCAAAAATGGTAGAACAACAGGGTGGATATGATCTCGTCGTGATAGCACTGTCCATTAAGATTTCCCTCTACCACTATCAAACAGGTCCTCCGCCTTGCTGTAATCCAAACCCATACCATAACGCTGCCGCTGTTTTTATACCCATTCTTGGGTAGTGAAATGCATGGGAATTGCATAAAAGTCAACTTTTTCATGGAATGCCTGCTTTTCTGGAGCAGTTACGTTTTTGTGACTTGATTCCATACATGTACTACAACATTGAAAACCAAACTTTACTTGTTTGAAAAATATACTAAAATATTGATGTCACAGGAACTTTTGTTGAGTAATATATATATATATATATATATATATATATATATATATATATATATATATATATATTAGTCTGTGTTGAGTATGGTGATGTAGCTATGAATATTACCTTAATTTGTGTTTGTTGTTTTCAGCTGTTAACATGCCTGTTTGTTTTGCCATTGGGTTAGTATGCATAACCCTCTCATCAACAGGTAACAACTTCAATTTCAACTAAATACTATAGAAAGACTGACAAACTTTATTCAGTACTTTACAATACAAACAAGATGGGAAAATACTTTAATGTAGACGCCTGGAATACAGTGCACTTTAAGCTACAGGGATAGGTGATTGGCGTTTAATATTTAGTAAAAGACAAAAGAATTTATTCAGACATTTAATCGGTCATTTAGGGCATTTAGACTAAATGAAATCATAACAATCACTCGTTTTAATAGTATATGTATTGTTCAATATATATTATGGTATTCAGTTTCAGCTGCAGTATGTAAGAATAAACACTGCTCCGATTGCGACAGCCAAACAGGACGCTGCCTCACAGGGTGTTACCCTGGATATTTTGACAAGACATGTAGCTCAAATTGCAGTTGGGGTTGCCACAATCACACATGTACACTCTCGGACAAAGGCATTGAGAGATGCACTGAGGGCTGTATTACAGGGTATCAAGGCACAAAGTGTAAAGTACCGTGTGACAGTCCCGCGGTAAGATGTACGAAATGTCCAGTCGAATGTAATGACGGATTCTGTCAGACGGGTTCCTCCTGTGTGTCGGGATGTGTGGACTCCTACTACGGTACTGACTGTAGGAACTGCAGCGAGACTTGCACATCATGCAACAGGTCAGTGGGAACGTGCGAGGTTTGTCATGCAACACATTTCGGTCCACAATGCGAGCATCGATGTGAGCATTGTTTAGGAACTTGTCGGACTGGATGTAAAGCCGGCTGTGAACCAGGATTTTATGGCTATCAGTGTGACATGGCCTGCAGCAAACAGTGCAGGCCCAATGCATCTCATGACTGTTTTCCGGTGGATGTAAACTCGTGCGTATCTGAATGTGACAAAGCGAGTGGTGAGTGTCCATACGGCTGTGCTGATGGTTGGTATGGTAACAACTGTTCTTCACCATGTAACCCTAAATGTAAAGATATGCGATGCAACATTGATGGTGCCTGTGCTGATGGTTGTCTATCTGGAAACTTTGGTAAAGAGTGTAAACCATGTCCACATAACTGCAAATACACATGTGACCAAAAGAATGGGTATTGTATCAATGGATGTAACTCTGGATTGTATGGAAACCTTTGTAATCATAGCTGTGAGATATGTCGCGAAGGTGTATGTGACCAGGACAGTGGATTGTGCATCAATGGATGTAATATCAGCGAAGGTGTGTGTAAATCGCCCTGCAAAAATAACTGCTCGAGAGAGGATTGCCTTCAGGAAACGTGTGAGAATGGTGAGGCTTTCCATATATCTAACGAGAATGGATTGACAATACAAATCCTACATTTATATGCCAAATATTACGGGATCTAATCCATTTAAGGCACATTAAGTAGGATTATTAATTAGATAGAATAATTGTTTTCAGATCAACGCACCACACATGGTATCTTTGGTATACAGATAGGAATACCAACATCATTTGCTCTGTTTGTTGTGGGCATAGTGGCAGCCAACTGCTTCTGTTACCGAAAGGGACTGTGCACTAAAAGGTGTGTATGTTTCTTTGAAAATAACTTGTCCGTAGGATTTAAGCACGACAAGCATATAATTTCTCATTAAATCCTTAAATCTCTTGAAAACACACTCTGTTGCTCTTGTCAGGTTTTGCTCAAGGTACACACGCATTATAACACATCAGATAAAGTCATTGGATTGTGTCAGATGACGTTCTACGATGTCACTTCTTAATTGTACTAAAAGGATATAATAACCTCAAAGTTTAAAGATAGAAAAGCAAATAATAGTATAGATCATAACCCTTAGGGAATGATATATTGCAGTGAATTGATGACAAGTTGAGCTATCAATAAGGGATGGTTAGCGATTTCTTAAAGCAACCAAGCTTACCCTGAATCATGATAATCTTCCATGATTGGATTAATGCTGTAAGTGCACAGCTTTGATGCTAATATGTCAAATGCAACGATAATACGTTGATAAGAGGCGCTTCAGAAGTTATAGAGACAATGAATTTATGGACTGAGCCAGTTGGCCAATCAGTGTGAAGCAATCAACATTAGAAAGGTCAGTGAGGCTTATTGAAAATAGTTACCCCATGCATCTGGGGAATGAATGATACCAGTCACATAATCACCAAACATGATATTCAGTATTGTGAATGATGCATTCTGATACTAAGTTTTGTTTTTCTTTGTACAGAAAGGCTGAAAGGAGCAGTGTGAGTCTTGAACCTATCCCGCGGCAGCAAGCTGGCTCATCCACTGAGTACCAGGCGGTACACAGATACTGGGAAATACACGAGGACAGCATGGACATGGAGTATGAGACAATGAATGAAGATGAAGAAGATTCCGATGTGATGGCTGATATTCCTGTAATTGCTGACTGCTTTAAGGATGTCAGTGATGAGGCCGCACCAGACGTTTATGGGCCAAACCCTGATTCCTACACCCATCTAATGCGTGACATCCCAATATATGAGCCAAACATGGTTGTTAAATATATCTCCCCAACAGATGACTGACACTGCTGTGCGTCACAATTTGCTGGCGAATTTAGATTTCACAATTTAGTTTTTGAAAATGATATAAGCATTATAGGCAAGTTTTGCTCAGTTGAGTTGGTCATAATAGATTATTACGTGCATTGATTCAAAGCCTTCAGCAAAAGATTCCCTGAATCCCTGTTATGTTTTTGATGCTATCTGGGCGAAGTCGACTGTTCAGAAGCATTTATGATGTCTTTTGTGTTTGAGCAAGCATCACTCGTGCGAGTTTCGTGGTGGATCCAAAGGCAAGTCATAGGTATATGGCTCTGTTCAGTTACTGGGTAAGATGAGATGATAACAAGAATATTAAATGCAAAGAACATTTTTGGTTCTCGGCTTGCAAGAGACCTGAGAAGGCACACTTATCTGTTTACATGTTACTGTTGTTTTGTACTTTCAAAATACTGAACCTATGACTGGCTATGGAGATATGACAGCTTTATACTTACCTGTCAATGTCATTAATGGAGCAGCTCATTTCTTAATGTGTGTTGTTGTCAACCAGTCTCGATTGTTCGATGAAAAATTGGATGTAAAAAACAAAATTATTTTAATATAATTTCATACTATAAAGTTTATACTGTTTCTTTCATGCTGATTGGCTGGAGGTGTAGTCACCTGATCTGATATTTAGAGATCACACACCTGTGAACAATATTTTGTTCAACTGCGGGAACTTTTTTCTGGGGTTTCCCCGAATTCTTGATCGATGTTTACAATCTACTCGTTTTTCTAGTCTCTTTTTTTATCCCTGCATTCATCTGCAATATAAATAATTTAGCATTTTTGCCTGGTCTTGTAACATTTCATGTGACTAAAAAATAAATCAATCCTTTGGTTCTGGTGTTTGATGTTGTCTAGCTGCTAAATGAAACAAAATGGATTGACCTTACAGTGATTAGGATATGGAATGGCTATTCATCAATACCTATAACGCAAGTAAAGAAAATGAATTCTGTAAAATTACTGAGGTGAACGAAATTGTTTATTAAGAGATACTGACTTTAATGCATTGTTTCTTGAAATGACAGGAATCTAGCACCAAATCCACGATTTTGAGAAACCGAAAAACATAAAAAGGCAAGGGAAATATACCGAAATTAAAAAACAAAAATAACCTGTTTTACCAACTGGTCACTGGAAACGAGAAAATATATGTAGACGGAATTACAATTCCGGTTTCTGAGTTGGCCTACCTTCCCGTGCATTCTTGTCCGAGAAGCACATGAAGAAGGATGGGGCACAGAAATGAAACTGGCATCAGGTCATACAGTAGGTCCATCTCAGTTGACAAGAAGCACCAGCCAAGTAAGGTATTACAGCACACAGGACAAACTCCAAATATAACACACCCTGACGTTGGAAATTAACACAAAACACAAGTTTCAGAGAACATCTGTTCAATCCCCACCAGTCCATTCCACATCGTCCGAGGTGTTAGCAAAAAGGTGAGCGTGACCATCATTGACAGAAGGCAAGTCAATAATATTGTTCACCTGAAAAACACGGGAACATATGTTTCAAGTGAAATTAGGTAATTGCATCGGACATCAATTTTGTTACTGATGCTTCAGCTATGGAAATGTCCTCTACATGTTCACCATAAAACGTTTTACTGAGGCCTTGAATATTGTAACCCTGATAAAACAAATTTTGAGCAAGAGTCTTGTAACTCTCTTTGAAAAAGAGTTGCTCCATTGTAAATGCAAGTTGGGAAATGAGGTGAGTGAGTGAGAGAGTTAGTTTTAGCAGTATTACAGTTACATCACGGCGTGTCAGCTTATGTGGTAGGAAATCCCAAAGTGACGTTTACCACTTTTGTGAAACCCAGGAGCACGGGTACGGCGCTGACAAACCTAGATACATAATCGGGGCAAACCAGGATTTGAACCTGCAATCATAGGTTTCTGTCGTGCCCAAGGGATGCAACTCTGCACAGTTGATTGCAGCACCTTAGATGACTGGGCCACCCGTGCCCCTGGGAAATGAAGACACCAAAGGGTGGAGCTGCCGTGGTATATATTACTCGATACAAAGGGAAAGTTAACTATACTAGCAACATAAAGAAACTGTGCACGGAGAAAATATAGATATAAGGGCCCACCGTCCGTATATGAAATATAGGTTTGAACACAGCAAGTATTGGATACATTCCAACGCTCATGCACGTGCCATGCGATATGACGTCATTGATGGGGGCCTATGGACGTGCAATGTGTTACTGCACGTGCATCCTGTGCAGCTGTACACAGCATGTGCAACGCAAAATTCGCTTTCACTTTGGAAAGCATGATCTGTGGTCATTCAAAAATTCAAAACTTCTCAGGCGCAGACACAAGCATATCACAAGCAAATCATGCCAAGATTGACAGCTGCACAGCGTCATGAAGCCATTGGAATGATCCGAGCGGGAATGAGGCAACAACAGGTGGCAACACATTTCCAATGCCATCTTAACACGATATCGGTATTGGTGAGGCGTTATCAGAACACAAATGACGTTGCCGACCACCCACGTTCAGGACGTCCCCGAGTAACGACGCCAAGACAGGACAGATGGATTCGAGTTACACATCTCCGACACAGGTTCCAAACGGCAGTAACGACGTCCCAGACAATTCCTGGCTGCGCCGTATCCATCCCAACACTGTCAGGAATCGTTTACGTCAGTACGGGATTCGACCACGACGTCCTGCCATACGTCCCATCCTGACACACCGTCATCGAGTCAGCCGTCTAAGATGGTGTAGAAATCATGTTCGCCAACCTCGAATATGGTGGAGAAATGTTGTCTTTACAGATGAATCGAGGTTCAACATTTCCCACAGTGACGGGCGCCAACGTGTCTACCAGCGTTTGGGAGAACGTTATGCACGCAACTGTATTGTGGAGAGGAATCGTTTTGGAGGTGGCTCTGTGATGATTTGGGGTGGGATAACATCACGGCACCGAACCCCTTTGGTGGTTGTTCGGGGCAATCTCACTGGTGTGGGCTACAGAGATCAGATTCTGAGGCCTGTGGTCATTCCTTTCCTGCAACGTCATGGCCCGAAGTTGACATTTCAACAGGACAACGCTCGTCCTCACACGTCTAGGGTCGCAATGGATTTCCTTCACCATAACAATGTCATGTTACTGCCATGGCCTGCAAATTCTCCAGATCTCTCCCCAATAGAGCATGTGTGGGATGAAATGGGGCGCCGTCTGCGTCGTCTTCCACTTCCTCCAGATAACGTCCGTGACTTGGCACAGGATTTGAGGAGGATATGGCAGGCCATTCCCCAGGCCTTCCATGCCCATTTGGTGGACTCCATGCGTCGCCGATGCACTGCTGTGATTCACGCACAGGGTGGTCATAACCGATATTGACTTTGTGACTCTGTCGTTTGACCCCCTACTCCATTTTGATCTTCTGACGTCATCGTAACAGATGTTGTTCAGGTCCCGTTGACATTTTCTTATGGTCCGATCATTCAGCTGCTACAGCGTCTGCATCATTTTGTTCTTGCTGTGTTGTATTTCAATCCAGAATATATTTTCTCCGTGCACAGTTTCTTTATGTGGCTAGTATAAATTGGAAAGTTAAAGTAATCTTGTTGTACAGTTAGTGAATAGAGCTTGTCACTCTGAATCTTTGTGTATGGATCTTAATATGAAACAGTGGAAATTTGACTGTTTTTTGTTTTGTTTGTGCTATATCCAAGCACCACATCCGCAACCTCACTCCTGTCACCAAGGAAATGTGTGCAGCACCAACAGCATACAAACGCTTCGCCCCCTGAACCTATCGACATCTACAATGGAGTAAAACAAGTGTGTGAAGCCCTCATCAGACACATGCTTTTTCACAGACAACACTGTTCTGGCACCTCATTGGCCGCTTTTCATGTTCATGCCATGAACTCAGCCTGACCATCAGCTTAGAGAAGGCAAACATGTAGAGCAAGAACACCGTTCAGCCTCCAGTGATCTCCAGCAACAGTTCACCTTCTTCAGCTTCACCAGAGTGTCACTCAACAGATGATGGATATGGTGAGGGAGAACAGCAAAATGAAAGCTCACACAAGGGCTGCTGTCTGCAGAACCTGCCTCCCCAGCTCATTTGCTGTATGGCAGTGACACTTGGACCCTCGCCTTCAGACAAGAAAAGAGACTCAACGCATGTGCAGCCTGAGGCGCATCCTTGGAAAAACTTGAAGCGACAGAGGCACAAACACTGAAGCGCTCTCCCAGGCCATGATGGCGAGTCAATTTTCCCTGCCACAACACCGCCAAGTTCACTTGGTCGACAACCCCTGATGCATGGACGATGGGAAAATCACAAAAAGGATATCTCTGTATGGCAAGCTTGGCTCCAGCAAAACAGGACATGGACGTTTCCACCTCTGTTTCAAAGCAAGGTTGACTTGAGGGCACTGGCATAGACGTGGACGTTGAGAGGTGAGCTGAACTCGGGCGATAGAGGCAGAGGTTCAGCAGAGAACTGAAAAGAGTTGAGATCAAGCTACACAAAGTGGACAAGGATTAACGGATTTGCCTGAAACAGCCAAAGTACAACTACAACAGACGATGTCTACAAGTGCAGCCACTGCAACAGAGACTGTCATTTCCGAGTAAGCCATGACTTTCCTTCAATCTGTGCACAGATCCATGGTCTAAGAGATCGGCAAAAAGAAAAAGAAACAAATACTATCAGTTAATGCAATTCTTTTTTGTTGTTACTTTTTTTAATTTTTAATTCATTTCAGGAAGATGTTACAATTCAATTTGTTAACATGTGCATCCTCATGATGAGCATGTCATTGAGATGCAGTCGGACAGAATATATACTCTTTAGAAAAAGAAATGCAAAGCCAGATTTGTGTGAGGTAGGAAAATACATTAATACGAAGAACTGTATAAGGTATTGAGACAAAATATTTTGGAGGGAACACTTGGTGATTGTAGTCACCTCAGTTATCGGTACATGGTAAAGGTCAAAGATGAAGGTCAGCTACCATAAATAACGCGCATGTCCCCCGTTCGAATCAATAGCTGCCTGACACCTTCTGCCCATGGAAGAGACGAGCCCATTCAGCCCCCAACGCAAAAGCTAACTGCTGCAACGTCTGGGGTTGTGATTGACATCGGTTTAGCCGTCTATCCAATTCATCACTCAGGTTCTCTATTGGGCTCAAATCCGGGGATCTGGAGGGCCCGGGAAGAACATCAATGGTGTTGTTGTTGTGTAGACAGGTCCTAGTGATCTGTGTTCTCTCCACAATACTTTGGCTCAATACCTTGTATGGTTCCTACCTCACACAAGGCTCTGGCTTTGAGTTGGGTTTTCTAAGAGTATATGTTCATGGCATAATTTAATTCTACTACTCTACTACTACCTATCCATATTGCTTTACTTTTATCAATGTATATTTTACAGTCCTGATATTCTAAAAAATATTGAAAGAGTATTCATTGAAGCTCTGAGATTTGTCTCGGTGCCATCTAAGAAAAGCTGTGAGTGCCATTCGCGTACTGACTGAGTTTATTTTCTTTGTCATAAAGTAAAATTTCTTTAATATTGAAGTATTTTTTTTATCATAATACCCTAAATTTCAGCATCAAACAAAAATAAATACGGCGAAACAGGATCTCCTTGTGTACGGCCCCTGGATTGATCAGACTTATATCCAGGTAAGATTTCAGTTTTAATAGAGGCATTGTAAATGTCTATTTTTGTTTGTCTTAAGCAGTTGGGTAGCCTAGTGGTTAAAGCGGTCGTTCAACACGCCAAAGACCCAGGTTCACTTCCTGACAAGGGTACAATGTGTGAAGCCCATTTAAGGTTTCCATCGCTGTGATATCGAGGAAGTCTTAAATGGCCACGATGATTGCAGCTGTCAATGCAGTTTGTGGGAATGTTCCCCTTTATTTTGCATTTCCAGGTCCACGGATGAGAGAAGAACTGTTATCTGAAGCAACACCGGGGGCCTCTGGCAAGGTGTCTGAGACAGGATGGTCGAATATAGACGTATTCAGCATCTACATGAAGGATCACTTGGTGAACTTCCTCCCACCTCGTGACTTAGATTCACCCTTCTTATATTATATGACGGCCACAAGAGTCACGGGTCACTTGGTTTAATTGATTGGGCGTGGCAAAATCATCTCATATTGTTTGTTCTTCCACCTCATACCAGTCACCTTTTGCAACCGCTTGATATCGGGTGTTACGGTCCTTTTGAGCCCACCTGGATTAGGGCCTGTCATACATTTCTTAGAGAAAATTCCGGGAGAGTCATCAGTAAACACGACATATGCGGGATAGCATGTAAAGTGTCAACTCCAATTTGACGCCTATTAACATTGTATCTTCCTTCAAAATCTTTTGTTGATGACTTGTTTGTCATGCCTGCCTAGGTATCTTATCAGGCCCTCGCTGTCTGATTCGGAAGGAAATGTGGTTGTTGCCAATTCTGATTGCGCTGCACGAGATTATCTGGAGTGTCATGGTGCTCAAGTCTTGAAGAATGACAAAACTTTCATGAAGTAAAATCGTCGGTGGGAAATCAATAACTGACCAAACCATACTTGACAAAATCAAGGAGTATTGTGTTAGACAGAATAAAGTAGGCAAAGAGGAAACGGGACAGTCAACGCGATCCATGTACAACATCAGGCGTGGATATACATGTACCTATGGGAAGAGGCGATTCTTCCAAAAACAAGAAAGCCAAGGGAAGTGATATAGTCGCGCGGGTACTGCTGCCAAAGCTACGCCCACACCTGTAGCCCACCTGATGATCATTTCACAGACAGTGAGACGACTGGTGACGTTGTCTGTTGTGTAAGCTGGAAATTCACCCCTGTCACCTTACGGTACACTGACACAATCACATTTATAAAGTGGGCAGCGTGCAGTAAGTGTGGATATTTGGTGCATATAGAATTTTATACGAAGTGACGAATTTTGTTTGCACTAGTACACAATTTCTCTGTGTCTACTGTGAGCCAACTACTGAAGAGTAAATCTCATAAATGTCTTCAAATTTCAAAGATGGAATGACTCATTTCTTCTTTCTTAACAACGTTGAGTTCCATTATATTTTCACCAAAAACATTCGAGTCCTGTGCATGAATCATAATTTTGTTTTTCAACAACGGCGCACCATAAATTCTTTGCGTAAAACGTCATGTGACGTAGGACGCTTCTCCCCAGTAATGGGACACTGCAGCAATGGCCGCAAGCAACAGTTCAATTTGACCAGTGCAGTCAGTGAAATGTGAGTGAATATCCTTGACAAATGGCCACATCTGACAAAGTACATTGTTTTCATTCGCAATCGTTTCCGAAAACAAGGCATCAAAGTCAGTATCGCTCAATAAATGAAATTCGTTCACTTCACTAAATTTACAGAATTCATTGTCTTCACTTGCGTTATTAGTAGTGATAGATAGCCATTCCATATCCAAATCGCCGTAAGAACAATCCATTTTGTTTCATCTAGCAGCTAGACAACATTAAACACCAGAACCAAAGCATTTATGATGAAATGTTACAAGACCACGTAAAAATACAAAATTAATCATAGTGCTGATAAATGCAGAGATTAAAAAAAACCCAGAAAAACGAGTTGATTGTAAACACCGATCGAGAATTCGGGGAAACCCCGGAAAGTAGTTCCGGCAAAAGTTCACACGATCAATTTCACAAAAAATATGTTCACATCGTATGTACTTTTCTGTCCGTTCACAGGTGTGTGAACTCCAAATATCAGATCACGTGACTACCCATTCACCCAATCAGTATAACAGAAAGAGTGTAAACCTTAAAGTATGAAGTTATATACATTTAGCAACTATTTTACCCTTTGCGCCAAATTTAAATCCGTTTCGGCTGAAGGCCTGACACCCCTAAGTTATAGGTTTTCGCGGCAAGGATAAGCCTGCGCCATCAACAGTTTTATTCACTTTCGTGCATTGTATAACCAGCCAGAATATGATTGAATACACAATTCCCTACTCACTTTTGTAAATACAACAGAACATTGTAAATCAATCAATCAAAGGAAGATAAGAGCAAACAGCGTTACTTGAATTGACACGCAATATTCAATATGCACAACTGCATTTAACAACGCCTACTAGTGCGTCGGCATTATATTTAGATAGTCATTCACGCATATTCCCACTTGACGTAGGTCACACATCATCATTGTCGTCCTTGCGCGAGGATTTCAGTGCACTGAATATAGGTATGTACATTAACTCGATTTCCGTTCAGTTGAAACGCATATCTTATGGGAAATCGAGTTTCGACTCGATCACAAGCTCGCAAACCTGCACCACACGCTGAACCATGAGAATGTATTGTTAAGGTGTATTGGCCTGGATTGCCTATTAGATACATTGTGAAATATACTTGTCTGAGATACCACTTTCAATCTTGTCAGACAATGATCACGTTGTTTCCGACATTGTTCGGACAATCCATGATTGGTCATCCATCGATACTCTAGCTTTAAAATCTTTATTTCGAGATTTTCCGTCTCCCGTGTTTCCAAAGTCAGTGACACTTTACAGAGAAGCAAACACAGCATCGATTTTGTTCGTATTGTGTATGAATTTTCGTAAAATGCATTTTTACCTTATAATACCCTCCGCCTCTGGACAAGCCACAGATCGGGTGACTAGACCACGTCTGACATGTTATAGAATACATCACTTATATTAACAGAAACAAATATGATCAAGTTTACTATAGAGCGTACCTGAACTAATTTGAAACAATCAACGATACAACCAGGTACGTTGAAAAGAGGAAAGACGCAATGTTACTTCTAATAACCATGTAATTAACATACAGTACACAATATTGATCATAACGTAAAAAGTTAATGTCTGGATACACTGCACTGCCAAATCACACAGTTCTGCACTCCCTGAGGTGTTTGTTCAACAGGTGCTATCTGGAGGTGTATTCTCAGCCATGAGCAGCTAACGCCTGCCGTGTGTTGACTGCTTGGTTGCCACAGGTTGGTCCCAGGATAGTCAGAGGCGGAGATCGTATTTCACAAACAGTAGGTTATCAGCCAGACGATTGATTTTTGACGACGAGCACACGCCACTTATCATTCCACTGATTTAAAGGGGCGGTCGGGTAGCCTAGTGGTTTAAGCGTTCGCTCGTCACGCTGAAGACCCGGGTTCGATTTCCGACATGGGTACAATGTGTGAAGCCCATTTCTGGTGTCCCCCGCCGTGATATTGCTGGAATATTGCTAAAAGCGGCGTAAAACCATACTCACTCACTCACACATTCCACTGATTTACCCACCTGACCTAGAAATAAGGCAGACCAGTGGGACACTTGTAATGTACAAGCATTTTGTATATTTCGGTCAGTTGTACATGTTGTATGTGATACAGCATACTACCGTAAAGATATACGTTATTGCTACATGAATTAACGTATATCACTACTGATCTTACTGACTGTTTGTTTAATGTGCAAAAACAAAATGTGTATTGGTTCCAAATCACCTGTTTCGATTTGGCAATGTGATCGTTCGTGTGACGTCACCTATATTCGTTTGTCTGTTTCACGAAACTACTTCTTGTAGCATAATGTCTTAAATCCGCCTTGTATGGCTACAGTGAGTGAGTGAGTGAGTAAGGGTTAACGCCGCTTTTAGCAATATTCCAGCAATATAGCGGCGGGGGACACCAGAAATGGGCTTCACACAATGTACCCATGTCGGGAATCGAACCCGGGTCTTCGGCTTGACGAGCGAACCTTTTAACTACTTGGCTACCCGACCGCCCCTTGTATGGCTAAAAAAATGCATCTCGTTCACCATAATGCATTGTATATTCCTACATAGCCATAGCACGACGTAAAATAAGGTCTGTCACTGGTGGAATGCAATTCTTCTCCGTTCAACTGACCGTATCCTCGAGCCGAGATACTACTTCCGGTATGACGTCACTTTGTTGACAGTAAGATCGATTGTCGTAAATCGAGAGGCTGGAGAGAAAGCATTGCCGTTCGAGACCGAGAAATGTGAGTTCCGATTCACGAATTATATATTCGTGTCTTGGGTGCCTTATGTCCACGACCAAGTGGCCGGATGGGGGGAAATCCGAGATCATCATGTCCATTAGATTGGTAAATGGAAGTGTACGTAAAATCATCCTTGTGAACTTTGTCACTAACTGAATATGATAATGTTAAAAGAATAATTACATTCTTTATAATGTAATAAATGTTCATTGTGTATTTCTCTGTATTGGAATTATTCTTGATAATTTAAATAACTAAAACTGTGTGGTTGGTGGTATTGGGAATGATCCACAATTCGCTACCCAAAGCTCTACCCCAATTGGAGGCACGGGTGGCCCAGTCGTCTAAGGCGTTGCGATTCGCGGTGCAGAGTTGCGTCCCTTGGGCACGCCAGAAATCTGTGATTGTGGGTTCGAATCCCGGTTCGCCCCGATTATGTTTCTAGGTTTGTCAGCACCATACCCGTGTTCGTGGGGTTCACCGAAGTGGTAAACGTCCGAGACCTGCATCACTTCGGGCTTTCCTCCTTCATTAAGCTGACACGCCGTGATATAACTGGACTACTGTTAAAAGCGGCGTTAAATCCAGCTCACTCACTCTACCCAAATACTAACCTCCAGAACCGTTACACACTGTCCAGAAGACTGTATGACAACGTTAACTTACCCTTTATGCCGAGCAAATTCCTGCAGCTCCAGCCCTTGGTGTTAATATTTCATAACCTTTGATGTAGAATTGAGCATGCTCTTTCTACAAAGATTTCAAAGAGCGCCATACAACTCTTGCTCGGAAGCTGTTTGGTCAAAGGGGCGGTGGGGTAGTCTAGTGGTTAAAGCGTTCGCTCGTAACGCCGAAGACCCGGGTTCGATTCCCCACATTGGCACAATCCGTGACGACCATTTGCGGTGTCCCCGCCGTGATATTGCTGGAATATTACTAAAATATTTGTAAAACCATAGTCACTCACTCACTTCTTTGCTATGAAAAATCCGTGTCAGCATCTTTTCAACATCTTGCGCTCCATCCCATTTCATTGTTTGATGCTACTGCATAATGGGCCGGTAGCCCCTTTACCGAAATAAACACTTTATTAGATAATGTTTATGAAGTCAAATGAGTATTTGAAATTGCCTTTATACTGGTTTCTTATGTATTTTGTTATACATTTATATTGCCATACACAATAATATTATTGGAGCAAAACCTAAAGTTCAGACCAAGCTGTATTAACCATTCATTCAGACAGACACCAGTTATATACTACTCAAAAGAAGTTAAGGATCACCCGATTTTTTCATATTGGTAATGCTAATCTGTCATGGCATGAGAGATTAATTATTGTAATATGAAAGAATCAAGTGATCCTTAACTTCTTTTGAGTAGTATATTACAGTCATTGATCTGGGCATACGGCAGGCAAAGAGTTGTCTCCCTTGTTTCACAATAACGAAAGTAGGAAGGACTGAATTGTTCGTCGACATAGTCAACTAGAACAAGAATCTGTTAGAATATGAAACTAAGAATTAGAATAAATGATGAAGTTGAAGAATGATTTGACGTCCTCAATTCTCGAAACCCACATAAATTGACGTTCTAGCCATGTGGTTATCTACAGTTCGACCTCGCCACGCCAGTCACAGTAGACAACGTGCGTCTCGCTCGAGCAGCCGAAGGTACAGTCTGACCAAACTAAGTTGTATTGTGTTTGGACTTCTCAGATTTAACACAAACAGATTTAGAACGGCATTTGAGTGCTCATACTATGGAAACTGAGGCAGAAAAACGGAAAATAACAATGACATCGAAGGGATTGATGAGGCACTGATATAAAGCAATTCCCCGGGACTGGTTGTTGCCTTTGTTATTGTTTTTCCCCGTGAGTACCCGGATAATACGCAACCCAACTGAGCGTGACAAGAGACTGGGCTACCGTCTGTAAGGACAGCAAAATAAACTTGGGACAATATTTGTTTTACCCATTTTTGAACACTGATTGGTTAACCGTGATCTATAAAGATTTCGACAAAGGGCGCATGTTAATTAATTTCTTCAGCCTAAACAAACAGACAAAAAGAACGGCGGAGCTCATCGGTTGTCGTCATTTGGTAATTGTGGTGCCGGGTTAGCGAAATTCCAATTTTCCCTAGTATCAGTAAAGCGAAAACCCAAGTTGGGGTATTTGTCCCATGAAAGCGAGAAATGAGTAATGGCTATAAAAACAGCGGATTACCGTAGTTTAGATTAGCGCCCGTGCTGTTCAAACAGGAGAGGAGAGGAGAGTCGTTTCTTAAGAATACATACAGTATGTATTTGATGGTATATATAAAGATTGCAACTTATTTATCTATGTCCTAAACGGCTAATGCACAAGTTCGAGTGACCATGGTTGATACCGTGCGAGGTGGTCAGCACTTGTTTTATGAGGGATTCAAGTTTCGTTGTAAGAAAACGGTCCGTGAGAAGAAGTATTGGAACTGCGTTGTTGTTGCCTGCAGAGCGTCGGTGATCACTGAAAACGGCATTCTTCAAGCGGCTTTGCAGGTTAGAAAATAATGCACATGATCATGATGATAATAATCTTAAAGACATAGACTCAAAAGACTTTGCTTAACAAACTATTCAGTTATGGAAGTGGAATCTTTCAAGTCCAAGCTCATCCACCGTGCTAAGACGGAAACAACACCGATTCCAACCATATACGGAGATGAGATTTCCAGACTTCGCCGCCACCACGACGTAGTTCCAGAGGACCTGCTTAAAGAAATTCCTTCCTTTGCATCCCTGAAGACCATTCTGTACCGACAACGCCACAAGACCCTTCCCAAACTTCCTGCCACCCGACCTGAGATTCATCTTGAAGGACAGTGGACATTGACCGAAGCAGGAGAACACTTCCTTCATCGCATCGACAACGACATTCTCATCTTCACATTTTTGAAGTTGTTACGCTATTTCAAAGAGAACAATCCAATGTAGAAGTCGCCATTCAACGAATTGGAGCCCACTGGTCAGCACCACCCAGAAAGAGAAGATGCCGGCTGATTGACAACCGTCTTCAGGCTCTGAAAGACAATCTCGTCAACAACGTCATCGGCGACGTTGAGTACACTGATCGATCACGTTGGTGACCTGATCCACTTGGAGTGAATGACAAACTTATTATAGAATGTATTTATGTATTTACCATATTTTA